CTCTATCCATCACTCACCCCCTCTCTCTCTCCCCCTCTCTCTCTTTTTCCTTCCCTCACTTTTCTTCTATCTTTTTGTTTTTCTCTATCCATCCCCTCTCTATTTCTCTCTCCCTCCCTCAATCTAGCTCTTGCTCTCAAAATTGTTTGTATCTCTATCTCTTTCTCTCTTCCATTCTCTGTCTTTTTCACTTAAGTCTTGCCCTCTCTTTACCGGTATATTTATATTTCATTTCTTTGTTTTTTCCCCCTTATTTTGCTTTCAGTCTGTCTGTCTGCCTCTTGCTCTCTCTCTCTCTCTCTCTCTCTCTCCCTTATGAAGTAGAAGATACAGTAGTTTCAACTTGTAAACTCTGAATATTACTTTTCCTTTTGATAGCTCTTTTCAAATTTGAATTCACCTCATAAAATTCTCCTGTAGAGGGAAAGCACATGCCGTAAAAAGGGACATATATTTTAAACATGAGGAAAAAAATTGAGAGCTCTGGGGCCCTGTTAACCATACCAGGGATACAATCACCCAAGGACATCATACATGTATAATTTTAGCAACAGTTAGTTTTCCTGATATGGGCTATACAGGGACTTGGTATCCCAAGTCCCTGGGCTATAGATGTATACATGTACATGTATGTACCATATGATGAAAAGACCTTTTGGTTCATATACCCTTATGTTCTTCTTAAGCATTCTTGCTGGTATCATAACTTTGTCTTGGACAAAGCCTACTAAAGACTCTCTGAAGATGCAGACGTCATAGAATTATAGCATAAACACACAATATGTACTACCATGTACCAGTACCAGTGAAAAAAGTAAAATATCTAGGATCTTTGTCTATGTGGTTCTTTGTAAGATTTCAAAAATCTGCGGGAAGTAACAAAGGTATTAAGTTCTTGTGTAATTACTTCTTATTTTGATGCTCTGGGTTACCGAGTTGCATTACCAGTCCACCATATGAATGAAATATCTATAGGCCTGTCCTCATCAGCTCGAGATAATGTACAATGATATCTTGGTCTTCTTTCCATAATATCCTGCTATTTCAGAAATAGCTGGCTAATTTGCGCCTATCCATGCTAGTTTGTGATGAGCGTATTGGTCTGGTAAAGACATAATTTGAGCTTCGGGATAATATCTCGAGTTTGAAAATAGCGGGTTATTTGGCAAACTTGAGCTGAACTTGAGCTGATGAGGACAGGTGTTATGTTCCTATTTCTATTACCATTAGGTACGCTACTTAAAGGGAATTCCCACCTTGATAGCAAACAATTAGAAAAGAAAGCTTCAAGTTAGAGACGCAGACTGGTGAAAGTTTGAACGAAATCGGACAAAAATTGAAAAAATATGATATTTATAAAGTTGTAGTCACTGCAAAGTACATGTACACCTGTATGGGCACTTCAAATTGGCTGAATCAGCAGAGTCACTGTCAAGAAGTGCCAGACAACATTCCCATTTTTTCCAACACAAAAAATGACTAAAATGTGCAAAAATGTATATCAACTGATAAAAGGATTGCTTCAAGCAACACAATGGCTGTGCAAAATACCAATTTCTGGTCTTGATTAATTTCTTAACTCTGGTATACAATACATGTAGATGAATATTGCACTGAAACATTAAATAATCTTGAAGACTTTGGTATACCTATCCCATGATAAATACAGTGTTGCACAGGGACTTTATTTACTTGGCATATAAAGGGTTAACATTAACAAGTATGTGATGATGCCCACGCAGTATTCTTCACAAAATCTCATACTATGCACTGGGTGTGGTATTTATTTATGTTAACTACAACTTGGGAATATCATTTACTCCAGAGTAAAAAAAAAAGAACTGTCACTCTCCTGTCTACAGTATAGCCTTGTCAGGAAATAATTAATTACATGGACACCAATGCACCCCCGATCCAACTAATTGGAGGTGAAGAAGTTGCTGGTAATTTCTACTCTGTTACACCTTGGGATAGTATACAAATATTGACTGCTTTGAGAGGTACAGTTTAAAACTATTGCCCCCAATGTGATCATCTCAAGCTGTACTATTATTAACATGAAATGAAATATAATCTTTTTATCAAATTGCTCTGTGTGTAACTACCCATAATGTCAAGAACAGACCTGTAATGTACAATAGACTTGTATAAAGAGTGTAATATAAGAAATAAAGCAACATTCTTTACCAAGGTGGTACTGTAAACTTATAGTAAAATTGAATAATGTAAAGAAAAGCTTTTCAATGAACGATAGAGTATAAAAAAGTGTCTTATAGCGTAGTATCAGTATAACACTTCATATACATATTACCAACTTGGTACTTAAAATCTTGAGGTTTTTAGCCACGCCTGTATTCTTTTCATTAAATCAATTTATATCTCGTCTCTGTCATTGCCAGCGATCATCCATTATCATCACCTCATTCTCTCTTTCTCTCTCTCTCTCTCTCTCTCTCTTTCTTTCGGTTTCAGTTTTGAAACCGTGCATAGCTTACACAGACAAAGGTCATTAAAGCGTTAATTAATCATATTGCAACCAAAATGTTATAACAAGGAAGAGAGACCTAGCTAGCAAGGCTAGAATGTTCGATAGGTCACTTCCCGTGTGAGATTAAAGGCTTGTTCGGATATATGACACAGTAAACCGCCATCCCCCAAAAACTTGTATTTATCATTAGGCTACCAGTAAAGAGTGGGAAAAATTGATCAGGGAGTAAGATTTTGAGATGCCCTGTACATGTTAGGTTAGAATTTGGCCGATTTCATTTTGACAATCTCCACCACCGCGATCTGTATCTCGATCCCTATACTTGCTGCACTGCATGAAGCCAAAGATAAAGTGATCTCCGCATTTCTACGCCCTGTGAAAAAATCTGAGGCTGGGCGTATGAGTTTGTTGATAATGCCATCTTCGGTGACTTGCAGCAATTGTCGGGAATATTATAAAGATAAAGTAAAAGAACTGGCCAGATGCTGGACTATGTACATGTATGATATAACGTACAGGCACGATAGCTCAGTCGGTACTATAGAGCAGTGGTCTCGTAATCCGGTGACCCGGGTTCGAAATCAAGTCGATGTGCTAGTGCCCTTTGGTAAGGCATTAATCCTCATTACCAGGTATCTCGGAGAGGACCTAAAGCCATTCGGCCGTCTGGTTGCTTACTAATAAGCATTTATGCTTTCTTAGCAGTCAGGTAAAATAACCACCACCATACCATACCATTTTCCTTCTATAGGGGTCTGTATCACAGCATAGTTTTGTAACTGTAATCTGTTCAAAGCTGCAAGGTTTTGGGCTCATAAGTCAATAATAAAACGGTGCACATACATGTAACATGCTTTCCACCAAAGTCTCTAAGCGCTTTTTCACTAAAAACATTATAAGAACACAGAAAATATCTGGTATAAACTTCTTCCACCAGTGTAAATATAAAATCAGGAAGATCACAAAAAGACACTTAAATCAACAGAAGACGAGAGAGCACATAAGAGTGGTCGCTTGGTAAAGGCACACCTCCTCCTCTGAGATAAATGCTGTTATTGCTCCAAACAGATGATATTTCAAATTTTAAAATCAAGAATTACAGTTATCTTCTGAGATCTAGTATACCCCAGTCACATCGCCCAAACAGTCTGCAAACAAACTTGATACTGACAACAACAAAAATGCTTAATTCACCTTTTACAAATAAAGATATCTCAATAGTCAGAATGCAATTGCATACATTACGTGTTGCTAGGTAGGACAAACATTATCGCTTGCCCTACCTAGCAACACATAAAGTATGCAATTCACATTCCGACTATTGAAATGAAATTATTCATAACAGGTGAATGTAATATTGTGTAAATAGGCACTTCGTTGAGTTTTATGCATAAAATGTGATTTCATTACGAAAATGGCCTATCAAAAGAATATTTTGTCCTGTGAGCCTTGCGTTCAAAGATATGCCTTTAACTTGCATGTTCTGGTTGCATGTTAATCTAAAGTGGACTTGGATCATCACCAGGCATTGAGGAAGTGAGACCATGTTACAATGTATGATTAAAACATCACACGTATACATGCTTACATGTACTTACAATTCATCAACTATCAACTATCAAGGAAATATGAAAGAAAGAAAACATATATGCCAAAATGTGCTTGGTTTTTCTCTTGGTTTTATACCAGAAATGGTAATATTACTGTGAGCACTTTGGTCTGTTGGCTCATTTAGCACTGCACACTTGTATGTTACAAGAAACAGACACGTTACAAACATGTAAATTACCATTATTATTAATTGGTTTTCCAATTTCCAGTGGCCGCATTTTGCCATAGCTTCCTCATGGTTTAACCAGATTACAGTTTGGGTATATATGTTTCATGCACAAAATCTGTGTCGCTGTATGAATTTCAGCAACATATTGTAATTACATGAAGAATCCACCTATGATATGATCATAAAGACTTTCGAGAAATCAGCTCGAGACCAGTTTCGACTCTCTACTGGATATCTCGTAGAACTTGTATTAGGAGTACATCATTGTCATGTTCGCCCTTTTAAATTGCGAAGGAAAAATGCTGTTGAAATTGCCCAATAGGTTGACTTTTGGAAAGCCTTTGTGATTCAAATTCAAATTCAAAGTCAAATTTTTGCATAGAACTTATGCACACAAACTCTGAAATACATTAAATCTAGCCCCTTCAAAAAAGTAAGTCTGGAGCCCTGTATAATATTGACAAATTGTTTTAATTTGATAAAGGTGCTTATAGTATTGATTGCAAATCGACCTTAGCACAGTTGCTCAACTGCTGTACACATATTTTTGTTACAATGTTTTTTTTTCTTTCTTGTCTACTGTTGTGTTCTGTAGCTGAATCTAGGACATAATTTAATGAAACATAAAAAATATAAACAGGTAATCTTTATAATTTCTTTTTTAATTCTTCCCTTACATCATTTGGATTACAACTACAAGTTTCATCTTCTTTTTCCCCTTTTTATTTGCAGTTTCTCGTCTTCACTGTGAGAGTGAGAGTTTCAAGATGGATCTCATACTGGATGTCAACACGCAACAATATCCCGTAGATTTAGGTAAGAAACAATCCCACTTTTACCTTTCCTCCACCCCTTTGTACTGGTATCTTCTTATCTTGACTGTTAAGAAAGTATGTGTATGCCTGTAAGTGAGTAACCAGGGGACTGATGGCTTTAAGTCCTCTTAGAGGGACTTGGTAATGAGGATTATACCCTTTTCTAACTGCACTCTATCGGAGTCACACCGATGAAAATACCGATTGAATTTTCCTTATGTAAACAAAGGTGAAACCGCAGTTTTCCCCCTGTTGCTTTCTAACTGCTGGTGAAATTCACTCGCTGTGGCGAGCCCTTGCCGGAAGTGAAGAATTATTGCGTAATGATTAAGCCCGCGCTCCATCTAGCTAGCATGCAGCATGTTCAACCATAAGTCAACAAACACAGTTGGTTACGATAAAGCGCGCGTATACTGCGCCCTTTGACCATTTTAATCGCTGTTTTAATCGCCTTTTTCTCCCGGACGTTTTCTAACTGGCAATTTCATCGGTGTCACACCGATAGAAAGAGAATTTCTCCTGCTCTTGAGCAGGAGAATTTAATCGCCTATTTCTCTTCTTTTCATCGGCTATTTAATCGCCTTTTTCTCCTCTGTTGCTTTCTAACTGGCACTTTCATCGGATGCGTCCGGATGCATCCGATGAAAATCAATGCAGTTAGAAAAGGGTATTAGTGACTTACCGAAGGGCACCACCGTATCGACATGGTTTTGAACCCATAACCTCCCTGTTAAGAGACCTTTGCTCTACGAGACCACTGAGCCACCGTGCCTCCTCTCTAGAATCGTTTATTGTTTATTTCTTGCATCCTCATCAATTCTAACCACCCCTCTCTCCCTCTCTCCCTCTCTTTCCAAGTTTTCATGCTATATACATGTATATCTGGCTGTCTCTCTGTCACTCCAATTTCAAATCTGTCTCTTCCTCTCTTCTATTTCTCTTCTTTTAAAGAAAAGAAAAATCATAGAACCGTGTGTCTTTCCCTGCCAGTTGCTCATTTCTTGAGGACATGTACTATGTATGGTCCCTATGGCAGGAATAATCATGACATTATTAATATCATTTAATTTTTACTCTCTCTATTTTTTTAATAATTTTTCTCCATCACCAACCCCCCCCCCCTTATTCTCACTCTCTTTCCTCCCATCTCCCTTCCTCTCTCTCTCTCTCTCTGCTCCTACTCACACTCCTCTTAGGTAATTTGCATATATCTGAATGGTATTAATATAGTATTCCATTCTCTCTCTCTCTCTCTCTCTCTCTCTCTCTCTCTCCTTCCATCCCTCCCTATCTCCCTCCCTCTCTCTGTCCTGCTCTCCATCTCTCTCTCTCTCTCTCTCTCTCTCTACCTCTCCCTCCCTCCATCCCTCCCTATCTCTCTCCCTCCCTCTCTCTTCCACCTTCCGTCCCTCTCTCTCTCTCTCCCTCTCTCCTCCCTCCTTCCTTTCCTCCCTCCCTCTCTCCCTCTCTCCCTCCCTCTCTCTTCATCCTTCCATCCCTCTGTCCCTCTCTCTCTGCCGTCCTCCCTCCCTTTCTTACTCCCTCCCTCCCTCCCTCTCTCCCTCTCTCCCTCTCTCCCTCTCTCCCTCTCTCCCTCTCTCCCTCTCTCCCTCCCTCTCTCTTCATCCTTCCATCCCTCTGTCCCTCCCTCCATCTCTTTGTACCACCATACCCAGCCTTCATTCTCAACCCAATCTTCTGATTGTCCCCTTTCCTCTAGGGTAATGATCTCATTAAAATGTCGGGTTGAAATTGGGAGTATTTCAGAACAATAATATCAAATGTTGAATGCTGTAGTTGTTCTACATCCGCCATCTAATATTTACTGACCAACAATGAGCGACAAGTACGAGTGAAATGTGCTAACCTGTACCTCATGACTAAGAGTGATTCACGCAACCAGAAATAGAATCTAGGATGAGAGGATGGGAAGAGGATGATGATGATGAGATGGTGATGGTTGGTAGAGAAGTATTATCAATCATACAGAAAAAATGATATCAGATGCTGAATGCTTTGGTTGTTGTATCCAGCATCATTCAACATATGCTACCTAATGCCTGGATTACATTTGCCCCGCCGCCGTACGATAAATTAGTCTACGATTTTTCGTAGACATCGTAGGAGGCTACGGACTACGATGTTTGTGTTTACATTATCTACGAGCATTGTGCCATTTATTGTATTGGCCCTCGGGGGCACGCCGGGGCAAATCCGTACAGAGGCTGCTCGGAGATTGTACGGAAATCGTGCAATTTGCATGCAGTAGCCGTGCAGTCTCCGCAGCCTCCGCACGGAAATCATACAGAGCCCGTGCAGCTTCCGTGCAAAGGTTGCGCGGAGAAGGGGCGGTGACCGTACAGCAACCTTGCGAAAGCTGTGCAATTGCCGTGCGAATGCCCCATGAGTCTACAATCTCCGTACGATTTTCTTTGCCCCCATGTTCACCGAAAAATCGTACGTTTGCTGCACAATCAGTGCGAGGAATTCGGGCGATACCCGTGGGGGGATTGTGCAATGCCACCTACGACATGTATATGGGCTACGGGCTTACAATTTTTTCAAATTTGTTTAACTTCTCGCGAAACAAAATCGTAAAGGCTGCGGAGCCCGTGAATCCGTACGAAAATCTCACGGCCGCCTCCTGCCACTGCACAGAGGCCGCCCGAAAAAGGGGATACGAGCAGGATACGGCTCTGTAGACTAATCGCAGGCCAAATGTAATCCAGGCATTAGTCATTGAAATAAAATTATGTTGAAGTACATGAGTGCTAAACTGGTCAAACCCTAGAAAAAGAAGTAGAACTGGTTCTGTTTCATAAAACTTGTTACCAGTAACAAGATATGACAGTTGTTATAACTGAGACTATAAGCTACTGAAGTCCTTGCATTTGATTGGCTGAGAGCATATTTTTATAGAATGTTGACATTTTTTATTGATAAGAATTTTTATGAAACAGCACCCTGGTCAGTGTATGGAAACCCAATGTATTGTACACATAATACCGGTACATCACATGAAAGGGGCCTACAATTGTACATACTGTAAATGCATTTAGTTCTGACAATTCAGACTAAACAAATCCTGTGTTTATGAAGTACTTAGTCTGGAAAACAGAACCTCTTTATTCTCAAATGAATGCTCTAACCATCCAATGCAGGGCTTTCCTCTTTGCTAGGCAAATTGTCAATTAGTCCAATAGTCCTTCAGTGTGTTTGTACTGTACATTCATCTCCTTTTAAATTTTTTTTTTTTTAATTTGAGCATTAAAGCAAGGCTGTCAATTTTGGGGAACTGCTTCAAGGGAGATTGTTTGCAATTTGTTTTGGCTCAACGGGGGGGGGGGGGGGGGGGGGGGGGGGGGTATTGAGATTAAAAAAAAAAATTAAAGTGCTCACTAATTTGTGAGACATTATAGAGGGCGCACCCCTAGCACCCACCCGAGGTGGACACCAGTGCTATACAACTATAAGAAGCCTTCATCATCAGGTACTGTTTACATGTAATGTAGACTGTTGGCTCATGTTATTATTGCACTTATGTAATCATTATCATTTGTATGAAATCTAATAGATACTTCAACAAGCATCAACGTGTTTCTTATTGCTCCTATTCCATTCAGCAGTCCATTCATAAACATTTATTTGCTCCAGAAAGCCTTTGTTGTTTTCTACCAGCCACAAGTAGGCCTAGATAATAGTATTCGGGTGAAGTCTTATAACGCAGCCCTTATTTAGTTCTTGTTTTAATAGCTGGATTGTCTGCAAGTCTAGTCTATTCAATATTGAGTTCAAAATAGTCATTTACAAATCTATAATGGAGAACACTACAAACCAAACAATTAGTATTTCAGCTTTCAAGATTTAATTTCTGTCAATAGATTTGAAGATGTGTATTATATTGTATAACCTGGTCATATATCTACTTTTTTTTGTTTTTATCATGGTGTATAAAAAAAAAAAAAAAAAATAATAATCAATGATACGGTATGTGTGTATTAAGCCTTGTTCACTTTCCTCTGTATTTGTGACCCATAATTAGTACAGGGCCTCTCAGGAAAAAACAGTTAAAATAATTATAAAATATATATTATATATATATATATATATATCCTTTTAGCTCATTGAGAGAGTGCTCTTAAGTCTCGCCCCCCCCCCCCCCCCCCCCCCCCCCGAAAAGAGTTTATATTTCATACAACATTTCCAAGAAAATGTATTTAATAGACAAATTTGTATACTTGAATAAAATGAAACCTGTAAATGATGATTGTAGTGCTCTTTAGAATGCTACTGTGTTTGCCCAAGTCAGCTGTTTTTGTTTACTTTGTACTGGACTCTGGAGATAAACACGATCTTCTGTCATTTTGATGACACTTCCTGTGAACAGACCTTTGATCCAGCGACAATTACACCAGGCTTAATGTTGTCAAAGATATACATGTAGGGTTAGGGTTAGGTTTGCAGTTGGGTTTTAGGTTGATCTAAGGTCAGGGTCATAATATCAAATGCTGGGTCCAGGGTTAAGGTTAGGGATTTGGTAATTGTAGGAAATCAACTGCAGTGCAATTGTCGCAATAGCTAGCTCAATTTTGTACTGCTTGTACTTGTAATATGCAGGGACCAGTTTATCAGTTTATTTTCCATCTCAATTATCCTTATATGTTGTTATTTCCATATTCTTAAAATTGCTAGAGATGCAATTTTAAAAATTATAACCACAACATAGACATTACCAATAACATGAGTTGGGCAGAGTTAAGCAGAGTTGGGCTGGGTCTGATTTCAGACTAGGTGAACTTGAATAGGGGTGCAAAGTTTCACCTCTCTTCCAAAACTTGAGCAGAGTTGAGCAGGGTCTGATTTCAGACTAGGTGGCCTTGAATAGGGGTGCAAAGTCTCACCTCTCTTCCAAACCTGTCCGGACTCGTCTTGACTTGCCACCAACCACATGGCCCCTCCATTAAGACTCTTCCATTGTCATTTAGGTGAGTGGCATGGGAT